TATATTATAATCATAGTATACTTGTCTTCACCGTAAAATAATATCATAAATTGCCAAAACACAAAATCGTGTTACAAATTACAAAAAACAATATTATTGATGTATAATTAATACAATTATATGATATTATAAGCTGTTCCATCGTAGGTAAAGCATTTATAATATAAATGCTATTACCATTGAATAATATCGATTATTGTATATTCTATAATAAATATGATATCAATATACCTATCATACCTAACTGGATACTTAGGTACTGACTTGCATTATGAAATCGTAAAAACAAAATTTAGATYGAGTTGATTACAACAGACAAATTTTTTAAATTATTATGCATAATATTAGTATACATATTACCTTATATTATTTATTATTCTTCAATTCTTCATATACTTTTATATAGCCCACGCTTTGTAATGCCGACTCCCGTTCGTCCGTTCGTGTATAATATCGTTAATTGGTAAATTTGAAGGTATATTAATTATTAATCAAGTAGTGAAAAATAAAACGCACWAAATAATAATGTATACAATTTAATTCAGTGTAACAATTCCGTTAAAACTTTTGATTTAATGATTTTTTCAACGAAATGCCATACTGCGCAAAACGGAGTTAGATTTTACAATATCATTCCACCAATTAGTTTTACATCAGCGCATGCGAACGATCGATGAAAAGTATAACTTGAGAATGATTAACCATTGGCATAATATTATAATATATTGATAGCCGTCGTCTATAAATTATAACGTATAACAAATATAGGCAGATAGGTACGAAACAATCGATAAGCGGTGACCGGACTGTGAAATATTAAGATATACTTACCGCAGCGTCGTCGATTATAATTAATTAAGGATTATATAATAGCATAAAATAGCTTTTAAGATTTAATCATATAATAAACATATATTCGGAGTCAGATCATTAAAAGTGCTTTTGCTTTTAAATATTCAAGCACAATACTTGTTTTCTCTGACTCACACACGACACGGATAAAACGCGTTTCCGCCTAAAATCGTTGTTTATGATTTTTGAGTAGGTACTTAGAGTAAAATAACAGATCACAAAAATTATAGAGGATAATATTTTTGAGGGTTTTATATTGTATTGTTGTTCGATTTTAGGTTCTATTTAAAAAACAAAAAAAAAAAAAATTGTAAATTTAAATAATGATTGAATTGTTCTGGGACAATATTTAGAGTTTAGACAAATCAATATGTCATTACCTCGAAAATATTATTCTCTATTTTGTAATGGGTGATTTTACTTTACGAGATTAATCAAAAACATAAAAAAAAAAAATGATTCTACGTAAATTCGTTTGGTCTCTGTTGTGCGTGGGCAAGAGAGAAAACAAATGGTGCACCGACATCCTTCTTAAGATTAAAAGTAGGCATTTTAAATTTTTACAGTAGGTAATAAATTACCCATATCTATAAGTCTGTGAATTTATTTATAGCTCATATTTGAATAATATCACAATTCTATTCAAATCATCAACATGAACACTATTATACATATACTTATTCCTACTGCAATAGCTACTGAAACCGCTATGCCTAGAACTGAAATGCTAAATAAATAATATATGATTTCAACAATAGGTAATAACTTTAATTTGAAAGAATAATATTACTATGAATTTATGACTTAAGAAGGAAGTAATGATTTATGACAAAATAATCTATTATAACGACTTATGACTAATATTATTTAATTATAGAAAATATTTACCAAGAACTACGTTCTCATAATAAATATTAATTTCAAGGGCAAACCTTGAAATTTGCAGGGATCGATATAAGAGAAGATTGTTTCTCACATGGCCAATTGAATGTGGCATGCTCCAGGTTAGTACGCCCACGAGTTTAGTTATTTCGGCACCAACAGGAATTA